TCTTTTTGCGGCTCCTACACAAAATAGTACTAAAAAAGGCTCCAGCCACATAAATGAAGGCGCGACCGTTCAGCAAAGCCTGTGGCGACCTTGGTAGCTGAAAATCTGTAAATATCCTGTAAATAAAGCTTGATTTAACTGTTTATGTTTATGATTGCACTATAGTTTCCCTCGACATGTTGTTACTTATTTTTAATACAGTATTATTTCCATAATAAACGTGGCAAAGGAAACGTCCCTCTGTGTTGTTTAGTAACATGACATTAACCTTTCAGTCTGAATGTCAAATACAACATGTTGTGTTCAAAGTGGCACATATATTGCTGTAAGCACGGATTAGTGTAAAAAAAAGAGAGAGAGAGAGAAACAAAACGATCCAAAACAACACAGATTACTGTAAAAAATGTAAACCTCAAAACGTTTAATGTGATTGTGGGAAGCCAGAGAACCTATGTGTGCTTAAAACTTTAAAAATGAAGCACTTCATAATTTCTATTTCTTTGTGGCATTTCTCTAAACTTAATTTGACTTGTGTCATGGGAAATTATGACGTAATTTTGTGGAGTTTAGAGGAAAACGGACTCGGTGGGGTTTCTTCCATTCTTCTCTGGTTTCACGCATAAGTACCGAAACAGTAGCGGGAAAATCAGATACTTGTTGGACAGCAAAGCAATTTGCTGCTATATGCAACAAATTACATGCTCAGTGATGTCCTCTAGATTTGGATACGCTTATTTGATTCTGATCTGAGCTTTATCATGTTATATTTCAATCTGAATTTATCCAATTAACTTTTTTCACCTTTTGGATTTTCTTTTTTTTTTTTTTTGAGCTCCTTCTTTACTGGGATTTCCCACTTTTAGGTTAAAGTGTCTCCTTTTATTTGAAAATAATAATAATAATAATAATAATAATAATAATAATAATAATAATAATAATACCATTATTATAGATTCATATAACTCCTCCCTGGGCTTTATATAGTGAAGTTCCAGACCATATTTGTAAAATTTACTATAATCCTCATTAATCTGACGTCTTTTTTATTCTACATGCGGCGTAATCCACAGTAGAATGGAAAGTAGCAACTTTTTTGGAAAAATACATCTGAGATTTTTCATTTTGTTAAGCAGTTGTGAAAAAAGTGTTTGTAGACTAGGTCACGTAGTTTTGAGGATAACTGCATAACCACATCAACTTGTTGCACTATAGGCTGTGCTGGCTTTAAGGCTGCTGTAGACCTCTTTTTAAGTGCACTTTTCTTCCGCTGCTTCAGCGGAGGTGCCATAAAGTGTCTCCCCTTTCTTTTCTAGCAGCGCTGGAGAGGATAGCACCTTAAAGCGAGTAGAATTGCTGAAACGCCCACAGCTATTTCAGACGACCCATGCTGAAAACACTGCTGTCTCACAGAAGAAGTTTCCATGTGATAAGGGCAGCCTGTTTTTTGTTTTGTTTTTTGGGTTGTTTTTTTTTTTTTTTTTTTGGTTTTTTTGGCCAGAGAAACCTCAGTTATTATCCTGTCTCTGTCCAAACTATTTGTTATTCCATCTTTTTTTGTTGTTTGTTTTGTTTTGACTGGTCTGCTAATAAAACCCTGTGCGAAAATCTCTCCCCGCAAAGTCAAAGCTGAGACCCGTACAAGGGTCTCAGACCACGGCACAAGAAAGTTTGTTTAATACAATAAAGAAAATGCCACGTGACCTTCACACTGAATGATCTTTAAACTATTTCTAAGAATTTCTATGAACTCTTCTTGCACTGGCCTAGTTTGGTCCACTATAATAGCTAACTATATTAGAGCCGAAAACCTAAGGGAAAGAGAGAATACTTTATTAGCATTAAACTGCGCCCAGTGAAGCGCACTTAAGAGAGCAGACGTGGATGAAGTGCGCTTCAGACGTCTCTGTTCCTTGCCAATAAAAGCAGACCTGGCTCGCCCGGGTTCAGCACAGCCATGCAGTGCTTTAATTTATTTTGATGATCAGCGCAATTAAAACTGTAGTCTACAGATTGCTGCCACAGTCAGATGCACACACACACTAGAGATTGTCATTGGTTTCAAGCTGTTTCTAAACCGCGTGAATTACCTTTTGGCACGTAGAAGGCGACGTGAACATGCTCATTGTTGTTAAAAAACAAACAACCTCTGGCTACAGACAACGCCAATTTCTCCACAAATTTTCCCTTACTTTAGAATAATGCTCACTGTCGATCAACAGCTGAAAGAGAACAACGTAACCAAACACTGATCATAAAATTAAACTTCATCATCACATTAACAGTCAATTAAACCTCAGGGATATTTCCGATGAAAATCAAAGTGACAACAGGTGTACTTCAGTGGCAACAAGATAACCCACAAAGAGGGAATGGTTTTGCAGGTATTGGCGAAAAATCATCTCTTTATCCCTCTGAACTAAGCTCAATTATTATTCCTGTATACCCAAAAGTGATCATCTGTCAAAAAGTCAATGCTTTGTTTGTATAAGTTATATAAAATCAAGAATAATCTGTTTTGCAAATATCCCTAAGAGCGTGCTTTATTACACCAGCTCTGTGTTCTACATCATAACCAATCCAGTGCTTTTTGCTTTGCCAAAATAGTTTTATTTATTGTAATTTCTACTGCCCCCTTGGTTAGGCTGCTTGAAAAAGACAGATTGAAGCTTTTACCATTTGACAGAAATGTTCTTCCTCATTCAGAATGACTTCATATTCTTCATTAGATATATTTTTGACTAATTATAAGTCAATTAGTCATTTGCAACAAATACAGACAAACTTTTTTTTAATCAAACGCCACCAGTCACTTTTTGGCACAGCGGGTATGGCATTGAATTCCTTTATTAAAACATATGAGAAGCCAAATCATTAAAACAATAGTAAATGAGTAAAGTAACAAGAGATTTTATGAAAAAGTTGTTCCAATTTTAATTAATCTGCACTCCATAAGTAATGAGGGCATTCTAAGGCAAATGACCAAATCTATATCCTGCTAGAATCCCAAATGCTTTGCAAATTAAAGGTGAGCTCAGAAAATGTGTGGCTGTACTAAACTAAGTAGAATGGACTAACCATTGTTAGTCAAACCTTAGTCTTTAACCGAGGACTTAATGAGGTTCACTTTCATCTGGCCTTGGTGACACATAAAATGATGTCATCTCTTTGCCTGTCAGGGAAATTCTGCTCTGTTCCATGAAAAGCACATATTGTACAAGCAACAAATAAAGTGGACCTGAAACATCATCTTGTGAATTTAATCAGTCATATGTTTTTAACAAAGTCATCATCTGAACAAGAAAATCATAACATACATAACATCATTCATATTTGAGTCATAGATCTTTGAATATGTTACAAAATTAGATTATGATATAATAAACACAACAAAATCCCAAAAAACAAAAAAAGTCTATGACACAGCAAAGTTTGACAGGGGAACATGGTGATATGCTTCCAAAGACAGACACATTTCAGCTAACTTCTCCTTCTCCATTTTAATACCTGCAAGTAAAGGCAGGTGCACCAATATATGAAAATTAGAAAGTTTACACGACTGCAGATGACCAATAACTTTATCACTTGAATAGTATGGGGGGAAAAAAAAATCACAACTAATAAGGCTTCAAGGGGGATACTGTTGTTTTCACTTTGTCCTCATGCTGTAATATCTTTGAAAACTTGCACCTAACTTGTGCAAATCAGCTACATTCACATTAGAAGTTATTGTTAACTGAATTTGGTTCCGCTATTATTATTTTGTTATTTTAAGTCAAAGAATTTTCAGTCATTTTTTAAACAAATTATCACTGTGGTATAAATTAGATGTGACTCTTTAATTTAACATCACCTACACCCATCAGTTCACTTTACTGCCTATTCTGAGTGAGGGTGCTATGTGACAATGCCTCAGAAAAACGCTTACTGTTTAAGCGTCATTGAACTTTTGCACCTTACAGTGTTAGATAATCACAGTCTCTACCCAATCTAGAAATACATTTAAGCTTTAATCCTTCAACAGCATTACTCACTGATACTTTGGCTATGTTTATATTTAATTTGCTTTATCTTTGATTTTGGTTTGACTTTGATTAATCTGGTGTTTAAAAAAAAAAGTAACATCACACTAAAAAATGCTCACAAAACAGTTCAGATCCATTATTTATATTTTGTGTGTTATGAGTTGACAAGTGAAATATAAGGTTGGGTTTTTGCTGTGTGTGGAAAATTACTAGAAGTATTGTTCAATCAAAAGCTTTATTTAAAACGCTCCTCATTTGTGCTAACATTTTTGAAGGTTTAAGATGCGACAACTCCATTTAAATTATGCTACATCTCAATCACATCCTGAAGGCTGTAATTATTGAACCTTTGGACTAGTTAGCAACTTTTAAGGGTTCTGTCTTAGCTGGCTACTTTAAAAAAAATCCTTTCTGATATTTCTAAGTGGTTGACATACTGCGCTGTCATGAAGATGAAGTTCCATTTGCATATTAGTTTGATGATTTGATTTAAAAAACAAAACAAAACAAAACATTGGGGTATTAAGACTTGAGGGGAAATGTTCTAACCATAGGTCTAATTAAACAGAAAACACTAAAACCATTAATTAAGATATCCTCTATATATATACACGACATGTCAATCTTCTATAAAAAAAAAATGACTTCACATTTTCATTAAGGATTTAGGGGTGTTCAGGATATATCTCAATATCTCACAGAGTAACTGTAAAAGTATAGGCATTTCAGAAACTGGAGTTACCCTGGCAGTTTACTTACAACAAAGGGTGCTTGAAAAATAGTTTTTTTATTGTGTTGTGAATGATGATTAAAAAAAAAAAAAAAAAAAAAAAAAAAAAAAGGGTGGACATCATTATAAAAAACGCACATATTTAAAATGTCAAGCTCAAGGTATAGTGGCAGTACTCAGGGAATCTGTATCCATCCACCAAAACACACACAGTCATTACAGGGCAAATTGAAAAAAAAAAAGTACGTTTTTGAGTGACAAACATAAAGAAACACCACCATGAAAAAAAACCAACCTCTTCCAATTCTTTGAAGATCAAAAAACACCAAAATCTGAGTTAGAGGATGTTCACATGGTTTAAAAACTATTTCTCTGCATCAGTGATGGGAAAAATGTCCTCAGTGGATACTCTGTGATGTAAAAGTTGAAAACTTTTTAACTAGCCTACATAATAAATCAACAGGCCCATTCAAACATTGTGTCCAAGGCCATTTAGCATAACAGATATTTATTGGTGGTATATAGTTAAACAGAAGTGTGGCATGAGTAAAAAGGCCGGAATATTCCAGTAAGTCACTTTTCCGTTACCACCAATATTCCAGTGGTTTTCGTTATGATTCAGTAATGATGTTGATATAAATAAGGAAAAAGTCTTTTACATGGTAGAACCTACAGAATCAGACCGAAAGGTGATATATCCCGAGGATGATGCCGAGGGTGTGCTTGCAAAACTGTTTGTGCTTCCTTTACTCTCAGCCTTGCTCAGATGCTTCTGTTGTACCCATTCAGCTCCAGCACCAGTCCCAGCACCACCTCCTGTCCTGGGCCTAAAGCCAGAGTGCCCTGGAGACTGTCGGCTGCACCCAGACGAGCCCATTTCCCCTTGCTGTTTCCCATCTCGCTGGCGCTCTCGACAGCCTTTCCCAGAACCACAAGCCCCAGGACTCTTCTTTCCCGCAGGTCTGTCTGGTTTGGGTGAACCCTCAGGTGAGTGGACCCTACTACTGCTTCTTTTGTGTTCTGACAACCGCCTGAGCACTTGAGGCTCACGCTCAAAGTCTGTGAGTGGAAAGTGGGGAAGGACTGTGTGCTGTTCATACACATTAGGGATAAGTGAGATGGTGGACGCACGTCTCGGGCTCTTTCTGGGGCTCGGCAGCGGCGTCTCGTCTATAAAGTTTATCACTTCGTCGCGGCTGAAACACCGCAGTTCATCCTCGTAATGCTCCCCGCCACAAACCACACGGGGCAGATGCCTGAGAGAGTGCATGCTATCCTCAGAGCGTCGCCGCTTGCGGTGAGGGTGATGGTGTCGGTGGTTCTCCTCGTGGTAGGAGACCAGGCTGCTCCTGCGCCTCTCGCGGCGCGGCAAGGTGGAGCTGTAATGGGCACTCACTATCATGTCCTCGGTGGAGCCCCATCTGTGCAGGTATGAGGGGATCCGCTCGCAGGTCCACATGTCGGTTTCGTCGTGGGAGTATCTTCTTGTAGGGGGCACCTGGATGCAAAACACAGATCAAATCTTTTAGCTATTTCAAAACTTTTACATGAATTTAAATTTTTAATAAATGCTGCACATTATATGAGATACATGTTGAGCACTAGTATAGCTCGACTACATTATCAAAGACCCAGAATAGTACATGTAGGATTATTCAATATCATCTGGTGGTTAATGTCATTGTAATAGTTCAGTGCAGTTTTAGAAGCGCTGATTTGCACTGAAGGCATTTAGCACCCAGAAAACAAAAGCCAACGTTTTTGTTTGTTTTTCTAGATCTCATTCTGTTGTTTTGCTTGTGTAAAATCCTACATGTAGCATATATCAGTTGTTTATTGAAGACCCTACGCATACAAGTTTAACCTTAAATTTAATCAGTCCCATAAGCCATGCATGACACACATCAACAAGATCATAACTCTTATAACTTATAGCTCTCATCTCCGTTATTTGGAGAAGAAAACTGAAAACGCTGACAGTTTCCTACATGTTATACTCACATTCCATTCAGTTCTGACAACTATGCAAGAGAGAGAGGGTTCGTCAAGGTGACGTCAAGAGCCTCAAGACTGAAATCAGCCTGCCCCCCTGCGGTGGCTTTTAGTAAATGCAGAGAAATTTAAAACAGCAGACGATACAGTAGCATTCAGGCAGAAGTGCTGTACAGCAGAGGGCAGCATAGGCATTAGAATGACTTAAGATGCAGGACAAAAAGAGACAGAGGGAGAAAGTGAAAGAGAGACAAGCCAATAAAGCTGGAGGAGCTTTATTTTGCAATCAAACCGCTTGAGAGGCATCACAGCAACTCTCAGATGGGGGTGCTATTTGATAATGACTTTAAGAGGTTGGTGGATTCATGACTTATTTAGGCCTTAAGCCTTTCAGGGCAAATGGCAAAAAATGTGACGGAATCACACTTCAGCCAGTCGTCCTAGAAATGAAATGTAGTTCTTACAGTCACAGAGATACAGCAAGGAATAAAACAGCTATAAAGTGCTTTGGTAATCTGAATCTATTATCAGGTGAAAACAAACATATGACACAAAAACTATGGATGGAGTAATGTTTGGTTTAATGATGTGATGGCTACTGTATACATCTCTGTTTCAAGCTTTTTTGTAAAGTCAAATAGAATAGACATTGAACTCCACATGAGTGGTTGGTCTTTGAAGGGTCCATTATAGTGCTGGACAGCTGTCCAGTTGTTGTACCAACTTCAATGATTATTTTCAGTGCATGTAAATGTAGCAGTTTGGGCTACAGGCTGTGGAGCCCCCATCAAAGTAATACAAAGATGACACAGTGTCTTGAATCTTAGAAAAGTTTAATAAAGTGTAGGTTGCACCGGCTGATTTTAAAGTTAGGTTTTCTAACCACAGTCTTCCAGGCCAAGTCTAGCGAGTCACAATCTTTTCTATTTTAATTAATAATTTTAAATATTATTGATTTAATATCTCAAATTGACTCAGACTTTTTGGTGTTGTTGATTTGCCCTAGAAGGCTGCATGTTAGATCAAGCTTTGTTAATGTAGCTGAAAATGATCATTTCATTGTTCTGCGTCTGACTGGGATGGATGCTGGATCCAATGGTGACCATGCATTTGGGCAGAACATGAGATAATGCTTATTGTGTCTTTCTGAAGCCTTGAAGGATTCCTGAAATGTAGAAGGTAAGTCCGTTACTAAACACTTACCCTCTTACAAAGTAAAAATGTAGTCACCTGCTTGTAGGACACTTTGCTTGTTATAAAAAATTTTTTTTTTTTAAAAAGCGCATATAATGAACTGATGGGACTTCTGATGGTCATATTTACCAAACAATAGTCAGCCCGAGTTTGTTTTTGATTTCATGTGAGAAAAGGACAAAAATCTGGGAGATATAGCGTCACAAAATCGAATAATTTCAGTAAATTCAGTCAAGATGCTGTACAGGCCCACAAGGCCATTTCACCATGCACATTAACAATAAAAGGATTTCAACTGATCAAGTAAAAGAAATGAAGAAAATCAATAAAAAATATACCTGCAAATACTGCATTTTATCTTCCTGTTGTTCCCTCAATGGATACCCTTGCAGAACCCCCCTTTCTAAGGTTGAGAACTCATACTTGGCATTACGGTCTATCGTCACGATTTCAGGCGCCGAGCTATAGTCATATGGTCTGTCATATATTAAGTCGGCATGAATTCCTCCGTCTTGGCTGTTTTCTGCAAAGTGCAGAAAAGTACGAGCGTCAGCATTAGAGAGCAACGAACTCAATACACAAGACAGACAGACAGACAGACGAATAGATAAGAGAGACAAGTTCAACTGTTCTCCGATTTGTCGACTTTCCTACGTGTCTGCTCTGAAATATGAGCTTCAGATTCAAGAGAAAAGGCTTTCATTTCAGTGTTTGGTTCAAAATTTTGAAGTAATGCCAAACAGTTGAACAGGAACAATATCACGTGTTCTTAGTATCGAAATACCAATCTCCCAAGAATATTTTCCCAATTTCTACATTTGTGTTCATTAGATATATCAATTGGGATGGGTGTAAAATGCTTGAGGAAAATGCTTGCCAAAAGGATGAAAGATGAAAGTAGCTATGTGCACAAGCAGCTTAGCATGCATGTCAGTAGCTTTAGAATAACAGGAAACAATCCTTATACATACAACTGTGACGAGTTATACATGGCAAGCCCTCTGGAAAAAAAGCACAGAACTGGTAGTGTTAATTATCAAACAGAATAAGGAACTATCTAATGTTGTCTTATGGCTCCTGCTGGACAATGAGCAGTTCTGAGGGAGGGTGTCATAAGAGAGGATCAAAAGGTTTGGAGGGTTAAAAACAGGAGAGAAGGGATTCAGGTTGGGTTGAGTTTAAACAGTGCCAATAGTCCAAAAAAAAAAAAAAGACAGGTGGTTCAGTTTGCAATAACTGTAAATATCATGGACCTAGTTCATGAGCGCATGATTATCATGTGACCTAATTTTGAGACCAGATTTTGCTGATAGTGTCTGTGATTTCTTGGTGAACAGGTTAGCTTTCACCCCCCTTTGAAAATCTCCCTATAAAATGTCTAGTAAGTGATGTTTAATAAATATTTCTGCCGTTAAATCGCTATAATCTGACTCAAAGTGAAAATAAAAATAAAAAATAAAAATAAAAAATAAAACTAAATTAAAAAAAGAAAGAAAGAAAACAAAATAAATACAGTAAACAGATTTTGTTTTTCAATTTTTATGTATTTTTGAGTTATGATCTTGGCTGTATCCTTTTGTGACTTGAGGAAAATATGACCATCATAATGACATGAAAGTGGTTTTCAGCTTTACGGCAATTGCTCCGGTTTGACTCTGGACTCTAAGACATAAATGGGAAACCATTTATTTTAACATCCTCTCACCAGGGCATTCTGGAGGAAGACTGCCCAGTTTAAATCCAGAGCGGAAAAAAGACAAAAGTGCTGCAAGGTAAATATGTACTTTGCCCAGCCCTATTTCTTTCTTTTTTTTAAAGAACACAGCAAACATTTTAGAAAAGTACACAGCATGTACAAAACACAGAAGATATACTGAATATTTAGAATTAAATTACACAGACACTTGTCCCTCCAGTTTCATCTCCTGACAACAAAGGTCACTTGATAGGTCACATGATAACAACTGACCACTGATTTCAGACCTCTGACTACAATAAAAAACAAAAACTAAGAATATTCACCCCAAGCCAATTCTAATTAAATCTAAGAAACATGTACCAATAGCCCAAACCATGATGACTAAGCAGATGTTAACTAATCTGCAAATTGTTTTCTAGAATGAGATGTTAAAATTGTCCATCTAAACTGTTAAAAGCAGCAATAACAGTAGCCTAAAGCTAGTAGACAGTAGACAATTTATTAAATTATTATCACAGATCTCTCCTTTTAAATGCCTTACACGCAGGCCTGATGATTTTAGGATGTAGTTACAGGTATTATCTGCATCAGTGAATAACATCATTTTATTAAAAGATTTCCTTTGGATTACAACATTTGTGAGTTGTAACTTTACAAAAGGGATGCATAGACATTAAAGTCTGTAAAAGGCAGAGATTACACCACACTGTATCTCAGGGAGCAGAAGATGACATCACTATCAAGCATTACACCATAGAGAAAATAGTTTTTGACTCTGTTCCCTTGCTGCAAAATTGCTTCTCTCTCTGTCAAGAGACAGCCCAGAAGCCAATACAAATGAACCTCTACTCTGAGAGTGATGCTTTACCTTTCACTGTCAAAGGAGATTTTGTGAACAGATCAAGTGTATTTTAAAGTTAATGTTTATCAATTTAAAACATCATAATCACATCCCATTTTTATCTTTAAAGTCCACCCTTTCAGTTTGGGCATGCCTTCACAGAGCATTTAAAATCTACTCTTAATGCTCAAACTAATCCACATGTATGTCCTAAGAAATACCAATCAATATTCACATCATGGGGTGAAGAGGAAGGAAAAAGGAGGCAGGAGAGGAGGGAGATGCTTAACAGTAGCTTACCCTCATCCACATCGTCGTTGGACATGATGGCGACACATTTCTCCCACACCATGCGGATGTCGGCCCGATAGCGGTCGCATGCCCAGAGGAACATTGGCAGCAGGATGGACTGGGCAATGGAGCACCACAGCACACACAAAACCATCCAGTTATAGGAGCGGTCAAACTTCAGGCTAGCAAAGCTCACCACCTGCCCAGGGTCAATAAAAAATATATATATTTTTAAAATCTGTTATAATGAAGAGTGACGATTTAGACTTAGAAAGTTTCCCCAGTTTTGTTTTTTCAATATATTTTTATTGATTTTATAATTGAGCAGTATACAACAATCACCTTCAAAAGAACACAATAGAAGTTGGACGGCAAGTCAGCAAGGTGGTAATACAGCATACATAAATGTTAAGACAGAGTATATTTCACTTAAGTTTATCCATCAGGCTAATGACTGGTTGCCAAATCTTATAAAACACACTCTCTCGGTTAGACAAGGTAAACCTGATTTTCTCCAGATGGAGTACATTTCCAAATTCTCTCAACCACATTTCGAAGGTAGGAGGTTTATCAGACTTCCAGCAGAGAAGTATCAGCTTTCTAGCCACAAGTGTGGTCATTGACACAACCTGCGTCTCTGTCTTGTCCCTTGCCCATCCCGGTTCCCCAGTTTTGTTTAACTCCACTCAGCGATGCACAAGATATGGACTGGATGGATAAATCAGTCAACAGTAAACCAGTTAATATTTACTCAGACTGTAGCAAGGTAAACATACTGAGTTAAGCATCAAATGTTTATGGCAGCACTGCTTTCCAGGCTTAAGAGTTTACTGATAATAGATCTTATGAACACAACAGAAAGAACATCAGGTATCTTTTACAGGATCACCACACAGTACTTCCTGGTTTAAATAAGCAAAGTGAGCGGGAACAGATACATCTCTTAGACATTTACATTGGTGGCAGTTTGTTCTTAATCTCAGCGTAAACCAGTAAATGTACCTGTTTACAGACTTTAAACGGTCACCTCAGCAGTTCAGAGACCCAACTGCAACATCTCCCCCCTTGGGAACATATACTCCTGCTAGTGTATTTATGGTATCAGATAATCTAAGTTAAAATAATTTGAAACAGATGCAAACAGTCCAAAAGTAAAAGGAAGAAAAAACCCTCCTGTGAGAAGCATTTCAGTCCAGATTTTCCAGTGCCAGATGAAAAAAAACCTGCAGCCAAGTTCCTACTAAACATGATCTTCCAGATCCACTCCCATATGTTAGAAAATCATATTATGTACCCTCTATCATCAGTTCTATAAGCAGCCTATGTATGGCTATCATAGCCAGTATTTACAAGGTAAACAGTATGGCCTTTGTCTGTCACTACCATTACTTCAATAAGTGATTAAAGCAATAAATAATAATAATAATAATAATAATAATAATAATAATAATAATAATAATAATAATAATAAAGGTACATTTGACAATATTTCAAAGTATTTCTTTTACAGTGACAAATTTTCAAAGTGGCTAACTACAATATACAAAGGAAGCTTGAAGAAACTAGAAGAATCAACTGATTTAATGCAACACTTTTGCAGTTGCAATAGTCCAATGTATGTTTACATCATGAATAACCTCAAGTATCAACAATTATCACAGGACTCCATGAAGTCCTGGGAAAAATGAAGTACTCCCTTTAATGTTTCCATAGGGATGTGCAGCCATGTACAGCTAATAAAACCTAGTTAACTGATCAACAGCAAGTGTGACCACCCCTATAAAAGCAAAAGTTTCCAGTTTGCTGGACCGGAGCATACAGGTGTTTCTAAGCACAATCCAACAATCTTCCTAGGATTGTTTGTCCCAGCAAATGTCAGAGAATGCAATGTTCAGAAAAACTACAAGACCCAGAGCTACATCTCAGAGTCTGCAGGCTTCAGTTAGCATGTTAGATTGTTAAAGTTTAAGTCATCATCTCAGTCATCGGGCCACAACAGTGATTACAGTAAAGCTTCTTTCAGCTGCTCCCCTTGTCATAAGGGTTGGCACAGCAGGAAGTTCCGCATGTTTGAATTGGCAGAGTTTTATGCCAGGCGCCCTTTCTGACACAACCAGAAAGGTGATTTACATCTCCGACTGGAACTGAACCCACGGCCTTTCACTTGTCAAGTGAATGTGAAAACCCCAGTGGTTATTGCAAACTTAAAATTATCTCAGGTTTAACCTCCTTCGATCATGCCTTGTGCTCAAATACCAACCATTTATCCCTGTTGCTAAGAGACTTGATAAAGTTGTAAAGCCTTAACCTGATATTGCCTTTGTTTGCCTACTGAGACAATAAAACACACTGAAGTTAAACAGTTTTTTCTCCACTTTACCACCCCACGAGTGATGCACTAATAAACATTTCCCATGTTGTGACTTTAAACTGTAGGATGAATCTTTTTCAAGGGGTACTGATGTAGTTTTTATGAATATTTGAGGATTTTAGATTTAAAGCTAAGAATATAGAACTTCATCTTCCTTAAGTTAAAGAATAGCTTCTTACAGTTTTTACCCAGAACTTTTTACACTTTGATATAAAAACCCTGGAAGTTTTGAAGCACGTGTTTTCACATACTGTATATCTGCCCCTGGAAGATTCATGTATTTAGTCTGTTCACATAAATTACTTTTTATATTTAACAGTAGTGATTCTATTCTGCTCTGATAATTTGTTCCTCTGTATCATACTTTGTAAGACCATACAGTTCACAATAAATATACGTACTCATTTGTATCTGTTAGAGGTTTCTATGCATTTAAATAGCTCATTACACCCAGCCAGAAAGATGGCTAGCAGGCCCACTGTTGTTGGGTTTACTGCATCTGAAATGTGATCTTTCCTCAGCACCCCACCTTTTGTTTTGCACACATGTAAAGTAGTAACACAATACATTGCTATAAGTGTGTGCAGTTGTCTTTATTAATAATAATAATAATAATAATAATAATAATAATAATAATAATAATAATATTTTCTAGCTAATAAAGCAAAAGGAGTTTTATATACCCTGCAACATCTTAATTCAGAAGTGTAATATTGTGAAACCTTATGGGTAAAACCATGACATACACCAAACACTACAGAGCCATTACACAAAAATAGTGGCAAAGAAAATTTAATTACACTTCATAATTCACAAATTCATAAACAATTTCCGAGGATCTTTTTCTGAATACATAACATATTTATTAGACCCCCACCCAACCTAAGGTTTATGCCCACACACATAGGAAGCAGAATTATTGTTTTAAACTCAAATTTAAGAGCACATTAAAAGCTAAGAGCTGAATTTTATTTGAAAATAGCAAAAATATATTGAAGAGACTTGTCATAAAATAGCAAAAAAATAAAGATTACTATTGAAAGCATCTTTTGCAATGATGATATTCTGTAATTTTTAAAGTGTTCTTTAGGCTTTATGAAAGTCTTTCAAGTGTTTTCTTCAGAAATTGGCTGCTTTTTCACTCGATTTTTTTCATTCTAGTCCTTGTACCTGATCATTTTAAGAACAGTATCCTGAGTCCTTAAGCCCTTAAGAAATAAGAAAATCCAGCAGATTGACATATATCTAACCCTTCAGCTCATCCATCTACAGTTCACTGAAGCCTCATCAGAAACAGACTCAATCGAAAGTTCATTGTCAAGATGCCATTTTAAAAGAAGGGAAAACAGGGAGAAAAGGTGAAAAGATGGAATCAGAGGCAATGGGCCTTACAAACTAATGATGTGTGATGATTTCAAATTTGAAAGTTTTTGGTTCAAATCATCATCAACATGTACAGAGGAGGACAGGAGAGAGTTACAATGCCATCTTCATCAGGAAAGGCACACATGCACACACACTGAACCAGTGGGCTCCACTATATGTATGGTTTAAAACCATTTAGAATATTTAATATCAACTTCTACTATAACCCAGGTGGCCAAACATGAACAAAAAATACTTGTTCCAAAATAAAAAACTGTCCAAGTTCATTTGCCCTACTGAAAATGCTCTATTAAGTTGGCTCTCTTTACAGAAGACAATCTGGTTGTTTGGCTGCATCACAAACAATAAGCCTTGAGCTTTCTGCAGGCTCTTAAGTTTATATAGAAAACCAGCGAGCTAACTTGTTAAAAAAAAAATAAATACACGAGAACCTGAGGGTGGAATTTACAAACCAAATGGCGACTTAGAGAAAAACAACTCACGCTTTCACTCCCTGATGTGAAGGCATGCCATCTTGGCAGAAGGAAGTCGCTCTGTTTTTGAAGTCTGTTTCCCCAAAAGACAACAGCATGATAATGATTTCAGTGCTTACCTGTTTTTCAGCCTTAGTTTGCCAACATGTTGTTCTTGTGACTGTTATCATCGCTTTTATTGTTAATTGTTTTGTTTTTTTATCTCTCCATTGGTGGGCTTACACTGTATAATATGTAAAAGAGATCAAACACAAATCTGTCCACATTGAACCTGACCTCCTTACAGCCTCGGAATGAATGAAATATTTTTATGTTTAACTTCAGATTACAGGTAACCTCATTGTCACATGTATCTCACATAACTTTATTAATGAAATCTTCACCTTCAAGTGGAAAAGAACAGTTAAATAAAAAAAAGTATGCCATTAGTGTGGCATCAGTGTCTTAGAGTGTGTAGCTGTTTTCTTAGAGGTGGTTTTCTTAGAGGCTACACCATTTCAAAAACAAGCATGGAAACCTTTCTCAAAGAAACGGTGCAAAAAACATTAACAGGGAGAGTCAAAGGCTAGAACTTTCTTATACTTCAAAGTATCACAATTCATAATTATGACAGAAGCAGTTTAATCTTAGTATACGTGTATAAACCTGTATTCAATATGAATCAACAGTGAGTTAATGAAGAGAGGTGCACTGCAAAATGTCCTCTCTAATTGGCTATAATTGTCTTTGATTATGATTTGATTTAATTGTGATTGTACAGTGCATCAACAGAACATTATTATTATATTATCAAGTACATTTTCCTGTTACAATGCTTTTATAATCAAGCAAGAAGAAGAGTGAACTCACCAGTATGGGGAAGCCAGTCAGGAAGTCATAGATGAAGACAATACCACTGATCAGGTAGGTGATTTGTAGCGACGTCTTAAGAGGTTCTGATCCATCGATGGATGACCTGCGTTTTCCCTGAGCATCCTCCACCACTATGGTGGGAACATTAAACTTGTTCTTATCAGCATTGTGACCTGCCTGAATCGAGAAGGTCTGAAAGAGAGCGATGCCGATGCAGATCACACCCATGGTCACACTGCCACCGATTAGGAGCAGAAAGCAGACTCCGAAGCCCAGGCCAATCTCTGTCACAATGAACCGGCAGTCAGAGGTGTAGAAGCGGTCGATCGTGTCATGCCAACCCACTGCTGGAAGTGTGGACAGGATGAAGGAGACCATCCAGATACCCATCACTGTGTGTACTGCCTGCTTCTTTGTGTTACTTAGCCTGGAAAGAGAACAACAGATTTTTGCAGGAAATCAAGTGAAATACCCATTGGCTTTGATTTGTGTGTCGTTCATTAGAGTGTAAAATCTGTGGATCCTAACTTATCTGATCTTTAAAATCACTATGCTCAGATCCCTAAAACCAAAAATATATACAAGTACACACTATAAAGGAGTTTTCTAACAAAGAGAAGTAACAAAAAATGGATTTGCATTTTATCTTTTTTTTTAAGAAAAAGGAAATCGTCTTTAATCACAGTCATTTGATCCTTATTAGATTCTGAACAAAATAACCTCAATCACTCTAATGCATTTCAAAGGCAGTCTTTACCTGGATAAACATTATAGTTATCAGCATGCTATAGCCCTGCATTTACAGTTCCAAAGAGCAAAAGCATGACACATTGATTGCTACCAAGATATTACCCATCCTATCTTTACAAACCTGCACTGACAAAATATATCTAAATAGAAGTCTAT